GAGAGACAATTGGGAAGCCGGGCAATGTTGCGGAGGTGGGGAAGAGCCGAGCAGATCATGGTATGGATGTGGGCACGCAACCTAGTCATCAGGTCGATCTTCAGCTGTCCTTCCTACCACATATTCTGTCCCTGATTAAGACTGCTTTCTTGCACCTCCATCACACTGTCCTCCTCCAACCATACTTCACACCTAATACAGCTGAAAACCTTATCCATGCATTCGTCGCCTCCCTCCTTGATTTTTCCAATGGCCTCCTCACCAGACTCCCCAGTTCCGCCGTTCATATAATCCTATTACTTCAATACTTTTCTGCCTGTATCCTCACCTGTAACAAACCCCAGGCCTTGCCAGATTTCACTGGCTTCCTGTTGCAGAACTGATTGATTTCAAGATTCTCCCATTTACACACAGATCACTTCATGCCTTGGCACCTCCCTACCTCTTTGACCTGCTTACACCCCACCCCACTCTAAAACTCTGGAACTCCCTCCGTCCTGTCCCCTCCTTGCCCATCTTTACATAGTACCAGAAGTCCTTCTTCTTTGACTGTGCATAGTCACCTCCCCTCTCCCCCTGGCTTGATGTCAAGCTCCACCACTGTTAAACGCTCAGTGTGAAAGGCACTACATAGATGCAAGTTGTTGTTGTAAACCTGAACGATTTAGGGCGAAAATTTCTTGTCCACAGTGAATAGTGAATGACCTTATGTAGCTGCAATATCTTTCAAACTCAATGAAATAAATGGTGCAGCTTTAGTTACAGGGTAACTATCTCAAGTGTAATTGTATGCTGCAAGACATTAAAATGTCAGACATGATATATTTCAGTTTCTGTTGAATGCAGTACTTAATTGTACATATTATTTGACCAGCAAAAGCTATACTTCTCCCCCCTTGGATTTATAATAACTACCTTATTCACTGCAGCCAGATAATTGTGACAACTTTCCATCGGGTTTGTTTCTCTTTGTAAAAGCCCTGATGAAGCGATTTTTGAATTGGACATTTTTTTTTGGTGGGGGGTGTGGGGTGTGGGGGGGGGATTTGCAAGGGATTTGTGGGCTCCCCACAGAGCGACCCAGAATTTCACAGTCCAAAATGTCAAGCTTATTTTCAAAAAAAAAACAAAGCTGAAAGGTCAAAAAAGAGACAAAATTGATAAATGCAGTAAAAATCATATTCACGTTCTGGGCTCAATGTCTGTGTAGGGAATCATTAGCAAATTGCTCTGAGGCGTTACCCCACATGAATGATGATCTATAAGTGCATATAATTATATAATATGTTTGTTGTAAAACTTGGTTGCTTTCTGCTTACCAGCTGGGCTTTGTGCTAAAGTCGTCACCACTGATGTCGTTTTCTGCTTTGCGTGTGAACTGACATCGGTGGTGACATAATGAACCAGAAATCAGCCTTTTGGTTAAGCACAAGAGCATATGTGCAGTGAATCTGCCTCTGTTATAGAATTGGGATTTTAACCTGGAACGTTAAATTGATGTTTTATGGATCCCAACCACATGTTAGACTTGTTTCCCATTATCTCGCACAGCCTTTTTGAGCCATTGTGGTTTTGTTTTATTTATGCTTCAAATTTATTTGCGTCATAATTGCTGTCCTGCATGAAACTTTTGCAAAGGGTCTTCTTACTTACAACAACAAGTTGCATTTATATAGCGCCCTTCACACCAGGTAGTGTCTCAGAGCACTACTTAACATGAAGGGGCTCTATTGTCCAAAGAAACTGCCAGTTAATATTCCTTGTTCGAGCCTCTCCGCCTCTCTGCTTTACTCAATCTTCGCGGACCTGCCCTTGCCTGGTTTGATTCCTGTCTCTCTCACCGTCTCCACTTCGTTGCCTCTAACGGTTTCTCCTCCAGCCCCCGCACTGTCACATCTGGTGTCCCTCAGGGCTCTGTCCTTGGCCCTCTCCTCTTTAATATCTACATGCTCCCCCTTGGTGACATCATCCGCAGATATGGGGTCAACTTCCACATGTATGCAGATGACACCCAACTCTATCTTTCTGCCTTCACCCTCAACTCCAGGACCACTGCTGTCCTGACAGACTGTCTGTCGGACATCAAGTCCTGGATGAGGGCAAATTTCCTACAGTTGAATGTGAACAAGACTGAGGCCCTCCTGATTGGCTCGCGCCAGCGCCTCAGCACCTCAGGCTCTGGGAGCATCAACCCCCATGGTTGCACACTATAACGCACCAAGCCAGTCAGGAACCTAGGTGTCTTGTTTGACCCTCAACTGTCTTTCCTCCCCTACATTCAAGCCATGACCTGCTCTGCATTCCCTCACCTCCGTAACATCGCCTGACTCCGCCACTACCTCAGCCCTCAGGTCACTGAAACTCTTGTTCATGCCTTCATCACTTCCAGGCTCAACTATGAAAACGTCCTGCTTGTCGGCCTTCCCAACTCCTTCCTCCACAGGCTGCAGATAATCCAGAACTCTGCAGCCCGTGTCCTTTCCCGCACCAAACTCCGTGACCCCATCTCCCCCATTCCCACCCGACACCACTGGCTCCCTATCCTTCAGAGGATTCAGTTCAAGATCCTGGTCCTCACCTACAAAGCCCTCCATGACCTCACCTCCCCTACCTCTGCGACCTCCTAACCCCCTACCAACCCGCCCGTTCCCTCCGCTCAGCCGGCTCTGGCCTGCTCCACATCCCCCGACCCACCCGCCCCACCATTGGTGGGAGAGCCTTCAGCCACTTTGCCCCCAACCTCTGGCATTCAATCCCCCAGTCACTCCGCCTCGCACCCTCCTTAGCCTCCTTCAAGTCCCGCCTCAAGACCCTCCTCTTCGACCATGCCATCGGCCACCCCCCTTCCCCTCCCTTCCCTTCCCCCCCAACCCCAGCTCGTGTCTGAAATGCTGTACTCTGTCCAGCGCCTTGGGACGTCCTCTTGACGTGAAAGGTGCTATACAAATGTGATCTTATTGTTGTTCGAAAGCCTGTGAAAAACATTTCAGGGACGTTTTGATTTATTATTAAACATTGGGGTTCATTGCCAACTGCAGTGGTTTGGGGAATGACAAGTAAATGGGACTGAAGGGACTGCTCTTAAAACGAAAAGCGAGGACAGACACGATGGGCCAAATGGCCTTTTGAGCTATGGTTCTATTATGCAGCAATTCTTGATGGGAATCCTTAATGAAAGGAAACCGTAAATCCGTCACATTCTCCCTCTCACACAGTCAGCTTTCCTGTGAGTCAGGATTGCAACACCCGGTTGACTGATGGAATCTCTATTTGGAATCCCATTTTTAAAAAAAAATTGCTATGTATTAGATCCTATGTATGTTGCTTGTGTGTGAGTGTACTACAGTAAACGCTGGATAAGTCGTCGCCACCACTTAAGAAGCCATGGTGTCGATATCTCAACCACTTCCAATTCAAAATGTTAATACAGGGCTCTGCTTTATTTGTCACTGTTTAATACATAACTATTAACGTCTCGAACGGTGAAATGGGAATGACATTTTTCTAAGAATAAAGGTGTAAGATAGAGTGCCATTTCTTTGATGGCATCTCCATTTGACTGAAACTCGATTAAGTTACAACTTAACAAATAAGTTGGCAATCCCGAGGCCCAGAGCCTTGCTCTCACACTGACAGCTGCTCGCTCTGCGCAAGCGCAGTGTGTGGTGGGTAGGTCATCTTAGCCACAGCGCCCCCTTGTGGCCACGGAGGACTTATACTTATGCTTATGCTTAGTTCGCTATTCCAGATAAATAGTCCCTGAGCGCTTTTCCCTTGAATGACAATTTACCTGGAATTTATCTTGATTTGGGTATTTTTAGCAGAGGTTTTATAAAAATTGTCTTGATGTTAATGGCTCGTACGATATCAACTAGAGTATTTGTGAGAATGCGTTCATATAACCAGGGCTTGATATCTTCTACCATGATTGGTATGTAGAAAGGTGAGCATCTGCTGCTCAAGCTCTGTATCTCCTTCTGATGGAACCATCACTGAACAGGTAGAAATGTGCGTCCGAGTTGTGCGTAGGAGGATAATAATAATATTTACATTTGATATAGTGCATTTCACATCTTCGAGACGTCTCAAAGCGCCTCACAGATTATACTGTAAAATGAATTGACTGTATATCTGTGGGCAAAATGCGACAGCCAATTGCGAACAGCAGTGTCCCACAAACAGTCGTGGATTGAGTGACCAAGTGCTTATATTTTTTTTGAGGGATTATTATCCCCAGAAAGTGATTTTCCAAGCAGGTTCCTACTTACAACAGAGGTGTGTGGAGTAAAGAAACTTGCCCAACATTTTGCATTTCCAGGAATAGAACCCAGATCTCTCACTTGTGAGGCGAGTGCTATAACCACTGAGCTACAGGACTCCACAGGATAGTGACAATGCTTTGACCTATTTCACGCTGAGTTGTGCCGCTTACCAGGCAGTTCCTATTACCTGTCATTCAGCTCGTGGAAGCTCAAACCTCCGCTTGTGGGTTATCTAATGTCCAACTATTGATTATCCTGAGGAATCCTCTTGCACCTAATGCTCTCCAGAATTAGGTAACCAGGGTGTGTCCCACCTGGGATTTCCGTTCTAGATGCTGGTAAATTTCCATGTGTAGGTGGATTAGGTATGTGGAACTGTGTCTGGTTTGTGTATGATTAAGCATGGAGATGGGTTTCCCCTTGCGTCAGATACCCAATGATTGCATACCATTGGTTTAAGTTGCATACCCAGTGTGAATTAGTGATTCATTCATATTTGTGCATTGGAAGTGTTGCTCCTTGTATTCATTCTGCCTAACAACCTTTGAAATTACCACTGTTATCAGTGGGATTGATGGAATAGATTTCTGTCTATTTGTAGTTGAGAGCGTACGATATTCTGCTTCTGAAATATTTCCATATTTTTAAAATCTAATACATGGTACTCAATTTTACTGAAGCCTTGTAAACCTTGTTGTTGTTGTTGTTGTTGTAAATCCATTGTTTGTTTTGTTTCAGTCTTATAAACGTGGTATCACTTGAGCTGAGAGAGAACCTGCTGACCTATCTACCAGAGTAAGTCCTGTGGGAATTGTTTTTGTTTTAGGTACATGTGTCTCCATGTGATTGGTTTATGTACAGGTTTCACATCCAATGCTGCTGAAACCCTCATCCACACTTACGTCAGCTCCCGCCTCGATTACTCCAATGCACTCCTCGCTGGTCTCCCCAGCTCCACCATTCACAAAGTGCAGCCGATTCAAAACTCCACCACCCATATCGTCACCTGTGCCAACTCTACATCCTTCAACCAGTCAGTCCTTGCTAGGCTTCACTGGCTCCCTGTCGCAAAGCGGATCAATTTCAAGATCCTCTCGCTCATTTACAAATCACTTCATGCCCTACAGCCTCTCCCTGCTTCTCCAGCTTGCTGACATCCCACACCATTACTTACCCCTTTCGGTCAGTCAGCTCTGGGTTTCCTCCAACGCCTCCGCTCCACTTATGCCTTCAGCCACGATGCCTCAAACCTCAGGAAATCCCTGCCTCAGGAGATCTGAGGCACTATCCTGCATGAAGGGCGCGATATAAATGCAATGTATATGTGTCTGTGGTTTGTTTTATGTACATTTGTCTGACTCTATGTGAAATGCAATCATTTTTGTTGGAAAGCACCCTCTGTTAGCTTGATCCTGAGAATAAATACTGTGTCCTATTTAATCCTTGCCCTCCGGTAAGGTGGGAAAGATTGTTCAATATCTCGTTTCCACAGAAATAAATAAAAAATAATTTTGATAGTGAGTGTGATGTAGACAAGTTATATGGTTTATTTTATCCAAATCTCATCCAATACACTGATCTGTTACCTTAGGGGTAAAGTTGATACTACTTTGTTGATGCTGATATCATCCACTTGATGAGTAATTTTGTTCATTTACAGATCACTCGCCCTTCTCTGCAAATTAGAGGAACTGGATCTAGGAAACAATGAACTGTACAATTTGGTAAGAACCATCTTTATTTCTGCATCAATTGAACTATGTTTTTGGTGATTTTCCACTTGCCTCCCGGCAACCACATCTAGAGCAGCAGAGGGCATATTGTGTGCCTTGCCCACTGGCTCAAGGAGTATTGTGGCTTTAGAGAATAATAGCAAGGTGAAGTTGAATTTCGAGGGTGACAGCCTTTCAAAGAAGTAAATGTTTTCACTTTTTTCCAACTTTTTTTCCCACAAGTCCGAATAAAATTCATCATTCACTTTTGAGATTATTTGCTGTGTGCAAATTGCCATGCTTGCCTACCAATACAGTCACTGCACTTCACCTTAAGACGCTGTGAAGCGCTTTAAGCCTCAACGACATGAAGCGTTATGCCAAGTCCAAGGATTATGAGCCTGTAAGAAAGTTGTGATTTCTTGGTCCAGAAGTTGCGGCCATGGTTAAAGTTGTGGCTTGGGGAGGTCCGTTTAGGTTCAAGTAGCTGCAGTGAGTAACGAAAATACGGTCGAAAGGAGGGTCTTGAGGTGGGTCTTGAAAGTAGCAAGGGCGGGGGCGAGATGGAGGGACTGCGGGATGGAATTCCAGAGGGTGGGGGCAGAGTGGCGGAAGGTCCGCCCGCCAATGGTGGGGCGGGCAAGGCAGGAGACGTGGAGCAGGCCAGAGCCCACTGAGCGGAGGGAGCGAACAGGGTGGTAGGGGCTTAGGAGGTCAGAGAGGGAAGGGGGAGCAAGACCATGGATAGCTTTAAAGGTGAAGACCAGGATCTTGAACTGTATCCTCTGTGATGGGAAGCCAATGGAGTCAGGCGAGTATGGGAGTGATAGGGTCACGGAGCCTAGTGCGGGAGAGGATACAGGCAGCAAATTTCTGGATGATCTGCAGCGTGTGGAGGGAGGAGTTGGGAGGCTGACAAGCATTGAGTTTGCATAGTTGAGCCTGGATGTAATGAAGGCGTGTATGAGGGTTTCGGCGGCCTGCGGTGTAAGACAGTGTTGGAGCTGGGCGACGTTGCGGAGGTGGGGGAAGGCAGAGTGGGTCATGGCACAGATGTAGGATAGTTGAGGGTCAAACAAGAGCCAAGGTTCCGGACTAGTTTAGCAAGGTTGAGTGTGCAACCATGGATGGTGATACTGTCAGCGCCTGAGGTGAGGAGGCGCTGATGGGAGCCAATCAGGAGAGCCTCGGTCTTGTTGACCAACTGAAGAAAGTTAGCTCTCATTCAGGACTTGATGTCTGACACATTTTGTCAGCACAGCAGTGAACCTGGAGTCGAGGGTGGAGGCAGAGAGATAGAGTTGGGTGTCATCCACACACATGTGAAAATTGACCCCATGTCTGTGGATGATGTCACCAAAGGGGAGCATATAGATGTTGAAGAGGAAGGGACCAGGGACAGAGCCCTGAGGAACGCCGCAGGAGATGGTCCGGGGCTAGAGGAGAAGCTGTTTGAGGAGATGAAGTGCAGGCGGTGTGAGAAGTACAATCTGAAACAATCAAGGACAGAGCTTTGGAGGTTGAGGTGAGAGGAGAGGTGGTGGATGAGGAATAGAGTGGTCAACAGTGTTGAAAGCAGCAGAGAGGTCAAGGAGGACGAGGAGGCAGAGGGAGCCCTGGTCACAGATGGACAGAATGCCATTTGTCACTTTGACCAGGGCACTTTCTGTGCTGTGGGTGGCAAGGAAGCCTGATTGGAGGGATTCGAGAAGGGAGTGGTGGGAGAGGAAGGAGTAAAGCTGAGAAGCAACAACTCATTCTAGGACCTTGGAGAGGAAGGGGAGGTTGGAGTTAGGGAGTAGAGAAGGGTCCAGGGAAGGTCTTTTAAGGATAGGAGTGATGACAGCGGTTTCTAAATGGGTGGGAACAGTACCAGAGGACAGGGAGAAGTTAATGATGTCAGTGAGTAGAGGGGCAAGGATGTGGAGCTGGGAGGTAAGGAGAGGGATAGGGATGGGGTCGAAGGAGCAGGTGGTGGGTTTCATATGGGTTATGGTGGTGATGAGAGAGGAGGGGGAGACAGGGTTCAGAGGTGTGGAGGGAGGGATGGGTAGGGGCTGGAGTGGGAGGAGGAGACAGGTAGGGGATAGCAGATACAGTGGCAGAGGCAGCTGAGCGGATTCCCTTGACTTTGGATTCGAGGACATCCAGCATCGCCTCGCAGTTGGCATTTGAGGTGAGGATGGGTGAGGTGAGAGGGCGGGTGAAGGAGCCCTTTCGTGATAGAGAAGAGGAGCCTGGGGTTGTCCTTAGCCTCCAAGATTGTCTTGGAGTAGAACGACGATTTAGTGGAGGCGAGGACGGAGGGTAGGATTTGACATGGTCCAGCCAAATCTGCCGATGGATAGTTAGGTTTGATTTAAGCCAGGTGTGCTCAGCGGAGAGCGCCTGGGCATTAAGGGAGGTGGCTGGTGTACCAAGGTGAGTTGCATGAGTAGGAGACGTTCCAGGAAGAGAGGGAGGTGAGGGAGCTGTGGAGAAGGGTGACTGAGGAGGATAGATCATTGCGGAAGGATACCCAGAGGGGAAGGAGTTCAGATGACAAATGATCCAATGGGAACGTGGAGTACCTGTAATCATTAAAAGTTGCCTCAATTATAAAAAGTTTTGGATTCCCACAACAAAGTCGTGCCTCGCGCTTTTCTTACAGACTTATAATTCTAAATATATTCCTGACATTTAGTTCCCTGGACACAGGCGTCTTCTGCTAAGAAAGCAAGGGAATCTTTTGCCAATCTCAGCACATGATATGCTGTTTTTAAGAATATAGGAACACAGGAATGGACCATTCGGCCCATTGAACCTGTCCTACCTATTTTATTGAGCACAGGTAAGCTTGGCTTCCTCTTCTTCCCCTGCCCCCCACCATCCCACCGCCAGGCTCTTCAAATCTTTTCAGGTTTGACTTGCCCTAATTTAATTTTCTGCTGAAACCAGGAAGGGAAATGCAGATTGGCAAACTGAGTGTGATGTGTGGGCCCTGTGTGCCTGAGAGAAACTTGGGCCATTCTGGAAAGGAAGAACTTGCATTTTGTATCGGGCCTTAACATGTCGAAACAACTCAAAACGCTTCAAGGTAATTGTAGTCCAGTATAGTGATTGTGTTGTGTGGGTGACTGTGGCCGTTAGTATTTTGCCCTGCAAGGCTGGTAAAATATGCTTATTATTATTATTAGATCCTCTTTGCTACATGGCATTGAGCCTTAACACAATGCTGATTTGCTTTTTTTTAAACACAGCAAATTTGTTTAATTTACTCTGGGGATTCCTCTGTGGTGTTTATTTTTGCTTTGCTGTTGACGTGCTGTGGTCCACGAGCGCTTGTACCCTCAAGGAGACCGAAGGCTGGTCAATGTTTACAGAAGTATTTCCTCGCCTAATTTTCCCTTTTCCCTACGGTCACCTCCCCCTTGAAGGGTACCGTATCATTGCAAGTTGTTGTTGTTCCAAATATGACACTAGCTGTGTCACAGTCCAGCTTCGTTTCAGAAGCACTGGTAAACGGGTGCCATTCACTTTAAAAATGGGCAAAACAGGTAATTTTCTACTGCAGAAAGTGTGCCGTCAATACAGTCAACGTGTCAGCGGTCCATTGCTAAGGTGGCAACACCATTGGTGTTTAGTTGTGTGCAGTGTTTGACTCTATTCTTTGTTTGGGTAGAACTTCAAGAAGTGTTATTGGCTTGATGTATACCTGAGAGTGAAGGGAACAGAGGGCATAGAAGGTGGTGGAGGCTCATGTGGAGGATAAACACTGGCACAGATGAGTTGGAGCGAATTTTGGTACTGTATCGTATCATAATAATAATCCTTGCATTTGATATAGCGCCTTATCACGTTGTTGAGACGTCTCAAAGCGCTTCTCAGAATATATTGTAAAGTGGATTGACTGTGTATTTGTGGGCGAAACATATCAGCCAATTGCGCACAGCAGTGTCCCACAAACAGTCATGGATTGAGTGACCACATTTTTTCGTAAGCATTTATTTAAAACTTTTTCCGAGATCAGCAGATGTTATTCGTTTCCCCTGGATTCGAGCTACTGCCCCTGAGAGAGGGAGCAGGAGTGACCTTCAGCCGATCTCTCCTCGTGATGTCTTTGGACAGCTGCCAGGAAAGAGAGAACTTGTGCTTTTATACTGCCTGTGTCCATAAGACCACAAGACCATAAGACATAGGAGCAGGAAGGAGTAAGCCATTCGGCCCCTCAAGCCTGCTCCACCATTTAATAAGATCATGGCTGATCTTCTAACCTAATTCCATTTACCTGCCCTATTTCCATATTTCTTATCTCTCTATCTTTTAGAAATCTGTCAACCTCAGTCTTGAATATGTTCAAGGACTGAGCATCCACAGCCTTCTGGGGTAGAGAATTCCACAAATTCACAACCCTCTGAGTGAAAAAATGTTTTCTCAACTCAGTTCGAAAAGGCTGACCCTTAATCTTGAGACGATGACCCCTAGTTTTAGATTCTCCAACCAGGGGAAACAGTCTCATGGCATCTACCCTGTCAAGACCCTTACGAAACTTATAGGCTTCTATAAGATCACCTCTAATTCTTCTACATTCTAGAGAATATAGGCCTAGTTTACTCAACCTCTCCTCATAGGTCAACCCCCTCATCCCAGGAACCAACCTAGTGAATCTACGCTGCACCCCCTCTAAGGCGAGTATGTCATTTCTTAAATAAGGAGACCAAAACTGCACACAATATTCTAGGTGCGGTCTCACCAAGGCCTTATACAACTGCAGCAAGACTTCCCTACTCTTGTACTCTATCCCTTTTGCAACAAATGCCAACATGGCATTAGTTGCTTGCTGTACCTGCATACTAACTTTTTGTGACTGGTATACAAGGGCACCTAAATCCCCTCTAAACGCTGACACTACCTTGTCTCTCCCCCTCTAGAAAAGAATCCGCTTTTCTATTTTTGCTACCCAGGTGAATAACTTCATACTTCCCCACATTATTCTCCATCTGCCACCTTCTTGCCCACTCACCTAGCCTGTC